ATGACAGATTGTGTCATAGTATAAAAAGAGTACAGTTTATTCAGAATTCCTAATCTTTTAAAAACATGTTTTGTATATATTCGTGGAGTACAAGTGCTATTTTGCTGCATCGGTGTATTGCACCATAGTGAAGTTAGGGCCCTCAGTGCATCTCTCACTGGAGCAGCACACACTTTACCACCTAGCAACCTCCCACCATCTGCTTCCCCCACCCCCCAACCCTTCATTGTCCATCATCCCACACTCTGCTTCCATATGTACACGTTATTTAGCTCCCACTTACAAGTGAGAACATGTGGTATTTGTCTTTCTGTGTCTGAATCGTTTCACTTAGATAATGGCCTCCAGTTGCATCCCTGTTGCTGTAAAAGACATGATTTCACTTTTTGTGGTTGAACGGTATTCCGTTGTATACATACACACCACATTTTCTAATCCTCTGTTGATGAATGCTTAGGTCGATTCCACATCTTTGCTATTGTGCGTAGTACTGTGATAAACATACGAATTCAGGTATCTTTTCTATGTATTGATTTCTTTTCCTTTGGGTACATACCCAGTAGTGGGATTGCTAGATCATATGGTAGTTCTATTTTTAGTTCTTTGAGAAATGGCCATACTGTTTTCCATAGAGGTTGCACTAATTTCCACTGACAGTGTATAAACGTTCCCTTTTCTCTGCATCCTTGCCAACATCTGGGATTTTCTGTCTTTTTAAGAATCTTTATGTTAGCTGTATTGCCTCTGGCTATGCATATCTTCTGAGTTTTGATATTTTTATCTATTAAAATTGGTAGATAATATCACCCTCTCTGCATTAAAAGAGATGTGAATAAAGTGCCTAATACCTAAGTACATAATAAATATCTAAATGGAATTTAATGATAACCATTGCCATAATACATTCCCTGCTTTTTCTCAAAATCGCCTATATATGTTGTAACCACACTTGCTCAATGGCCCAGCCAGAGTTGGGGAACCTGTGGCCTCAAGGCCACGTGTGGCTCTCCAGATCCCCAAATGTGGCTCCTTGACCAAATCCAAACTTCACAGAACAAATCCCTGTATTGAAAGGATTTGTTCTGGAAAATTTGGATTCAGTCAAAAGGCCTGATGTTTGGTAGGTTTTTTTTTTTTTATACCTTCAAGTAGCTACCACAATCTTTTTCTCTTTTACTTGTTACATGGCTTTTTGCTTCCACTAACAACAGAAATTTCCATTAGAAATCTTACCTATCCGTGTGGTCTGGCTCTCTAGACCAGAATAAGTGGATGAACATATTTGGCCAGGTACTGAAAGTAGTACCTGTTCACTTGGCAGTTCTCAGAGTACTATTGACTTCAGTTCTATATATCCTTCGGAAGTGGAAAAGAATAAAGTAATTGGAAGGAAGCCATCAAAGAAAACTCATACATGTATGAGAACACATGTGTATATAGTTCTCTTACACTCATTTGGAAATTGACAGTTTGCTCATTTCTCCCTCTTTTAGTGTTGCTATATATTCTACTTTTGTGAATATTTGGTTCTTTTAGTAA